TCTTCCAGTCAGTTGGCCAAGTGGTCGTTGAATGAATGAAACTGTGAGTGAGGGATATTGTGAAACCTAATAATACGAAACATAGTATATGGACTTTGTATGTACACCAATATAAAGTAAAAAGGTTTTCAAAAGGAAATGCAATCAATAGCAGATATATATATAGGCAGACAGGCAAAGTGAATGGATGTAAAAAGACATGAAAATTGCCCAGAGGTGCATGATTCGGATCCACCAGATGCTCTGCCGGGGAAGGTGGGACAATTTCCTTCTGTACCAGTCAGATCTGATTTGATGGTACATACACACAAAAATAATAAAATAAAAATAAAAATTTTAAAAAAGGACATGAAAATTACAAGAATAGGAAAAACACAATTACATTTTGTAATTAATGATATGAAACAAAATATATGTGGAAAACCAATCTGTTTTTCAATCTTTCATTCAAATCACAATTAAAAATCATAAAAAATAATAACTCTATATATGTACAAGTAATTGGAAGCAGTAATGGCTTGCACTTGCTAAGTAACATGTCTCCAGAAATTCTATGAACTTTGATAAATGTCGATAGTTATAGAGGTGCTTCAGGCCTTTTGTTCATAGGGTCACTATGAGTCGTGTTCTACTCAAAGGCAATCAGCAACAACAGCAACAGCATGTATAAGTAAAAATGCCAGTAGAAAGATGTGGGGAATGTCACAGCACTCTTACATATGTTAAAAAAAAAAGATTAAAAAAACCTAAATAACACGGATTATTCCAGAGAGAAAGAAGCTATCTACAAAGAAATAAGAAGAATTTTGCCATACTTCTCAGAAAGTAGATTTTAGAAAGCAGAGAATATGATAATTATGAAGAAAAACATTATGCTTTCTTTCATGACGCCGTCTCTCAAACATTACAAATTATATGCCATCAAAAACAAAGAGAAAAAGCTAAAGTCTAAGGACAAGTGGAACTTGTCATTATGCACAGTAAAAAGAAATGTCCGTTAACAGCTGTGCCTCTGCCCCAAAAGCACTTGGTCCACAGTTGATTCCAGTAAACACTAACCTATTTAGAAAGCTAGATAATCTTAACTTAGGGTGATGGGAGGTGGGGAAGCTATATCCTTTCTATCATTGAGGAAACATAGAGACTGAGAAGAGGTGAGTAATCTTTTTAAGAAACTCAAGGTCCAACGGGAACCTAAGTAAACACCATGATTTTGAGAAACAGATGTAATACAAGAAAAAGAATCCAGTTGAACTCTTGATATTTGCAAAATTCTCCTGTATACAGCATGGGTTCATTTTCTGTGAACCTATTCACGCTCTGCTCTCCAGTGAACAATATTTACAAATCACTAGACAGTACTGCAAATACACCTGCAGACCAATCAGAAAGAGCAGGGGAACACAGTCAGAAGCAAAGCAAATTCAAACCTCAAGTCTAAACTGTAAGAGCAGACTCTTAACTAAGAGGTGGAGCCAGGAATCAGGAGACAGATAAGAAACAGATAAGAACCAGAACCGACCCAAGGGAGGAACAAACCAAAAGAGCTCAAGTTGATTTCAGCCTCCCAAAACTTTTCGTTTTATAGTAACAAATCTATTTTCTGGTTCTTGCCTGTTGTTTTGAGACATTCACCTTTTTCGTAACGTCAGTGCATCACGTCTATTTTTTGCCAGTCAGTAAATTGTGATTTTTGTGCACTGTGATCATGTCATTATCATGGTAACCAAATAAGGCAAGATGGAGAATTTTTTTTTAAAAAAACCAAAAGGTAAAAAATATGTTAAAATATATTCATGATTCAGAAAATTCAAGATCATACAAAAGCCATTTCTTTCTATTCTTTTCCTAAATTCAGCGTAATCAGACTCCAATCTCTAAGATACAGTCAGAAAAGTATTCCAGTAAATAAATACAATATGGCACTGGTATATACATAGATAGAATATTAAAATTAAGAGCTTAAAAGCCTAGAAATAGACTATAAACTTAAGGGATTTTGTGAACAGAATATGATAATAGTGGTATCTCGAATCAGAGAGGAAAAAGAAATTATCTCTTCATGGTATTGTAACAAGACAGTTATCTGTGTTGAGGACAGTGAATTCATACTTTTCACCATAAATCAAGATAACCCTCAAATACATCAAACATTTAAGTATTTGAAAAATAAACCAGAAATGTAATTTGAGGGGAAGTTGAAGATGAAAACTTAGAAAAGACCATAAAGAAAGAACTCATTAAAGATTGACACATTTTAGCTAAACCAAAAAATAAGTTATATATCGTTTTTACAAAAATAAGATAAATCCAAATTAAAAGTAAATTCTTAAAAATTTGCCACTCATATCACAAAGGACTAAATTTCCTAGCATATTAAAATCCCCTAGAAATTAATGGGGGGGGGGATGGTTAGTGATCTCATGGAAAAATAGGCAAAGGAAAGTCTTAAATCTATGAAAACCTGTGTGACCTAACTTAGAAAAGAAAGACAAATTCAGCATACCCAGTCACTTACCGGGCTTGCAAGAATCCAAAGAGGTGCACAAGCAGACGTTTTCATCAGGAAACTAAAGCTCATTGAATATAGTAGGTCACCCAAGTTTGCACAATTAGTAAGAGTCAGGAATAGACATGTCTTTAACTTGTAGTTGAATATGAAAATATTTCCAGTACATGTACTTGGCTTTCGGTATGCTCAGCGTATGACAATGTTAAAGTGAGATTTTCTTGGTTTTCATTTTACCAGTGATATAAAAGAGACCATCAATTCAATCATAGATAATAAAACTGAACAGAATTTGTTCTAATGTTATTATTGTAGTATCTATTATAGCTGTAATTCTAATATTCTAATTCTGTATTGTTTCTTAAGTTCCTTTTCAAAGACTGTTGTAGCAAATTGATACAGAGTACCTTCAAACAGAATTCTCTTTTCATTCTAGTGGTTGGACGTTTTACTCATGAAGTAGGCAAGGCTATACTTCTTCCAAAGACACTAGGGAATGGTCCCTCATCATACTTCAGTTGTCTTATGGCCCCTGGTGTCCCTTGACTGGCAGCAAAACTCCTGTCTCTGCGTCCATATTGAATTGGCTAGCTTCTCCCTTTATATACCTTTGTCTCCAACTCAGCCTTTACAGCCAAGGATAGTCCAGAGCGACCTCATTTTAGCTTAATGAATCATAACCTGCAAAGAGTCTAGTTTCGAATAAAACCATATTCTACATTTCCAAGTCGGTATGAGTTTTTTGGGATGTTGTTAAGCACTTTGAAAAGTGTTCCTTCCCTGGATATCATCAGAAGCCTTGATGCCACTGTTGATACTCCCAAATAAACAAAAATACTACTGAAACAACAACTGAAACAACACCCTCAGTGGAGTGATGCTGAGTCTGGGGAAGGCAAACCTGTGGAATTTCTCTAAGGTATCCCCTGGCCCATGCCGGAGAGGTGGCCTGTTCGTGTCACTGCTCTGGTACTTGAAACAGAAGGAAGCTCATCTAGGACATTTGGGGCCCAAGCCGTTTGTCCTCACTTCCATCCCTTCTCTGCTTCTCACAGCAAATAGTCTAATCTCTTACTTGCTTTTCTGTAGAATAGTCATGGGTTGTATCAGAGACCATGGTTTCTATTCTTTTATGTCATCTCAATACTGAGACAAAATTGAGGGCTAATAGAATGATGATCTTTCAGATAGAAAGTAATTATTTCAGTAGGTGAGGATACCATCATCTCCCCTTTCTCTTAACTTGACAAGTTAGAACTGAGCTGAAATCCACTAGACATGTTTAACATTAAATCAGTGGTTACATAGTAGGGAAGCACATAAATGGAAGAATGCAACCTTGAAAGCAAAAAGAGTCCCCATCAGGCTTAATAATGGATATCAGATTGGCAATGTGAAAAGATTGACAGTATCTAAAAGCGCATACATTCTCATGGGCATTGATAGGTTAGCCCAGTGCAAAAAAAGAGAAAGAGAAATCTGGCAGCATTTCTTCAAGCTCCTTTCCTATCCTTAAGATCTGTTAAAGCAGTGTGGCTTGAATTCAGCAGCCCTGTTTTAAAATACCCACTCAGGCTTGATGGTTCTAAATAGAACTAATGACAGCCAGAAAAGAAGGGCCTGTAGGAACTTGCTCTGATGTCTATAAACAGATTAGCCGAGAGAGCAGAACGACTATCTCCTATAGCTGTTTTTCCTCTTTGCATCAGCATAAAATAAAATAATAGGGGAGGGGGACATTACCTCTAATTCAGCCTGTCCCTGTTCTACAGATAAATAAGGTAAAAGAAGAACTTAATCTATTTATCTGTGTTTGACTCAATTTTTTGAACATTTAGTTATTGTAAATAGCCGCTTAGTAACATTTGGTGCTAAAGGTTTGACTGTGGGGAGAAATGATAGACCGTAGACTTGGTGGAGAAAATGTATTCATATTTTATCAGAAATCTTTGAGAAATTGAGCATAATTCTTAATTAGAAAGGCAATTGCTAAAACAACTCCAATTATCATTTATAAAAGGGATAAGGAAATACAGCATGTTTAAAGGAATCCGAAGTGCTTAAACAATCAATTTATGAATGGTATAGAAAAGCTACGTAAAATGGGGGGTGCTGGTGGTTTTCTACTTTGTGTATACATTAGAATTACCTGAGGACCTTTAAAAAATTCCAAAGCTCAGATATACTTCAGGGCAATTTTTTTCACAGTCTCTAGGGATAGGACACAAGTACTCTCATAGCAGTCAAATCTGGGCCCACTATGTAATGTAATGTTTATCACAAATCTTATTCGAATACTGTTGATATAAGATTTCTAGGAATCATTATTATATACTAATATTTTGTTATATTCACAACTTTCTTCATTTATGTTATATAATTTCTTCAAAGATTTCTTTCACTTCAGAATGAAAATTTTTAACATCTGTCTATTTTAGCCTGCTAGTAAATATTTGCTAAGATCATGCTGGTCGTTTTCTTCTACCTATAGGAATTGGCAGCAATGAAGCAGATTCTTATAAATATGCAAAGTAAGCATCATGAGGACAGCTTACTTATTACCCGAAAGGATTCAAAACATGTGACAGAAAACAAGAAGTCAAAAACTGTGGATGTGCCTACAGAACATGAAGAAAACATATTCATACCCAAACCAACACTCTTTGTAAGTACAATGAATTAATAACTTTCAATTATGTATCTTAACTTCATTAAATATATTTTACTTACATTTATTTTTATTTACATTGATTTCACATTTATTTTTATGAGAGAGGATTGAAAGATTATCTGTATTAATTTGTTTTCTGAATATTCACCTATCTTATAGCTCCTATTTGGGTCTATGTTTTCAATGAGCATATTGGGCTTATCCAGAATTACCTTAAATCTTATTCACACCTTACCCATCCACACCCCCAATACACACACACACACATCCCCAGGTCTCTAAGAACTAAGTGCAGAGAAATCAGAATACCATTTTTGTTTCAGGTGGAGTTTTTTTTATTGTTATTTTAGCGAGTTTGCAGAGAAATTTTCAGTCACTTTTGCACATTTTCCTCCCTTCCCCTCCTTTCTCTCTACCCCAATTCATTTTCTTTTTTTTTTAATATTCATTCATTGTTGCACAGTGTCTTCCCTCCCCTCCTCACACCCCCTTCCCCAGCCCAGTTTGCAATGCACCTCTTATTCTGGACTGCTGTCATATATATAATGCCTAATCATGTACTCCTTTTAAACAGTTCTTGCCTTCATCTGTTCCATGGCAGTGTTCATTATCAGGGTCCTCTTTTCCTAATTTTCCCCTAAACCCCCATGCCAGTCCTATTTTATTATAAGTGATATTATGCATTATTTGTCCTTTGGTGACTAATATATTTCACTCAGCATAATGGCCTCCAGGGTCACCCATGTTGTATAATATTTTATCAGTTTCTTGGTTTTTAGTTCTGCATAGTATTCCCTTGTGTAAATATACTTTAGTTTTTCTACCCATTTGTTTGATGATGGACACGTGGGTTGCTTCCATCTCTTTGCTATTGTGAACAATGCAGCAGTAAACATGGATGTACACACATCAGTTTGGGTTGTGGCTCTTGTGTCTTTAGAGTATATTCCCAGTAGTGGAATTCCTGGGTCGAATGGTATTTCTATTTCCAATTTTTTGAGAAAGCGCCATACTGCCTCCCCATAGTGGTTGTACCACTTTACATGCCCACCAGCAGTGAATAAGGGTTCCACTCTCTCCACAACCTCACCAGCATCAGAATACCATTTTGTATCCTTTTAAAAATTTACGTAAGAGTGAAAGATTAGGAAATATCACCCTTTCCTCTTAATTATGAAATAGTATATTTTGTCGTAAGAGTTTCTTCATAAAATGTAAAGCCAGTCATATGGAATTAGACTCAAAATTTATGTATCGAAATTAGACAAAAACAAAATAGAAAAATTTGAATTAAATCAAAGAAATAAATTATGGAATATTTTAAATTACATGCTTTAACAAGTAATAAGAACAGAGATTTAAAAAGCCATAAAATCAAAATAAGAGTTGCATTATTAATAAGTTCACTTCTCTTCAACATAGTTTCCCAGTCAGCTTTCATTTCTGAACAATATTTTAAAGCATTTTTACCTCCTGAGAATACAGACTCAAAGCCAAAAGATTTCCCTTCAGATATTCTGATTCCTTAGGTACTAGAATTTAATGTTTTCAACCCCCTGGATGGTTATAACAATCAGTCAAGTATGAGAATGTCTGATCTTAGCCATTTCATTATACATGTACATTACCCTATTAAAGAGACTGAGATTGGAGAGATTTCTCTTAGTGATTATGTAATTTGAACTCCTTTAAAAAAAATCACAGAGAGTTAGAATTCAGATGAATAGAGAACAGTTGCTGGGAGAATACACATAGCAGTAGTGGAGACTGAACTGACAGAGGGGAAAGGGGCCTGGATTGACCAGCCTGAGCACAAGGCCACTTCACATCTCCAGCAGCGTAGTATGTGGACCTTCCCTTCCAATAGTACAGTGGTTTCTCTTTGTGTATGTTTGTCTCCTGGTTTCTGCTCACTAATAGTTTTCTACTTCCTCATAACTGTAAATTTACTCAAGACTCTTTGATTAGAAACATAGATCTGTGCATCCTATGTTTATGTAATTTTATAACCCAGTGCTCTTTTTCTTCCCCAAGAGCAAGAATCTAACTGATGCAGTTGATCTTTGTTGCATAATATTCCTTTGTGACAAAGTGTTATGTGCCAACAAGTCACTCATAGTGTCCTTATGTACTTTAACTCTAAAAGCTACCCAATCTTGTGCCAATCTCATCATCCCCAACAGACCTAATGCCACTGCTCCAGTCACTAAGTGAATCCATTTCATCCAGGGTCTTTCTCTCCTGCACTGTCCCTCCACCATTCCAAGCATGATGTCCTTCGCTAAGGAATGGTCTCTCCTGACTACATACCCAAAGTATGTGAGATGGAGCCTCAAAATCCTTGCCTCTGTGGAGCAAACTGGTTTCACCCTCTCTATGACAGACCTGCTTGTTCTCCTGGCAGTCCACAGTATGTTCAACACTCTCCTCCAGCGCCATAACTCAAAGGCATCAGTCCTTCTGTCATCCTTATTTATTGTCCCACTTTCTGATGCATAACAACTAACTGCAAAAAGTATGGCCTGGATCACCTTAGTCAGCAGACTAACATTATTGCTCTTTCAGTACTCTAGAGAGATCCCTGACAGCAGACTTTCCCAATGCAATTTGCCTTTTAATTTTTTGACTGCTGGTGCCAAGACTGTTGATTGTGTAACCAAGCAACTGACATTATCAATAATCTAAGACTTATTAAAACTATTAGCAAATCTTTTGAATACCTACTCTTGAGTCACATGCTTCCCAACTACTCTCACCATCGTCATCATCTTTGACTATTGAGCAGAGGCCATGTAGTAGCAAGTGTAGCTGCCTAGGGCTATTTATTCAGAAGGGCTGTGGTAGTGGGAGTTTTTCTTAGAAAGGAGATGGCAATTATGGCAGGCAATATGATATGTCTGTTTTGCTATAATCTATAAGAAGAATGTAGACTGAACACATAGTCATCAATATCAAAAGTAGACTTAGATGAAAAGCACAAGGTACAGTTTAAAACTTACCACTATGATCTGCTTTTATGACCCCACTCTGTTGCTATCAAAGAACTTCTCCTCCTGACCCTTTCTGAATTTAGTAGGAAAGCCTGAATCTGATTTCCCAAAATCCTGAGTGTATCCTATATATGTACCAGTAAGCTTTCCCCCAGTAACTGGGGATAATGTTACTCAGTGAGAATAAAATTAAAATTCAAAATGTCAAGTACTAATTGGGTAAAGGGCTTTACCCCTTGTTTTTGTTCATCTGTATTTTTCTCCTTTTTTATAATAAGCTTTACTCTTTTTATAATAAGGAGACTTTTAAAAGAGGTATGAGCTCAGTTGTGTCCTAATGAAAACTGAAAACCATGCTGTCCTGGGTGGTGTGAACATTTAGCCTGGAATGCCAACCTAAAGGGAGTTCTGTGGGTAAGCACTTGTGCTGCCAACACAAAGGCAGTTGGTTTGAATCCACCAGCTGCTCCAAGCAAGAAAGATGAGCAGTTTCCTCCCATGTAATTTATAGCTTCTGAAAACCTGCTGGAGGGTCAGCTGTGGATCAGTTCTGACTCAAAGGCATTGAGTGGAGTTGAATTGCTAGTAAACAAGTCTGGCAGCAGAGAAAGGTGAGGAAATAGGCTAATTTTTTTAGAAGCCTTTCTATAGCATTTGACCTTTTTTAAAAAAGTAATCTGTCATATGCAAAATAATAAGATCTCTGGGAGGTTTAAGGTGTTCATTCTTCTTGAGGTACAACCGAAATATGCAGACCAACTGTAAAAACCCACTGGAGGGTCAGCTGTGTGCCAAAATTAGAGAATTAGTTATTATTATTATTATTATTATATTATTTATTAATGTAAACCAATCAAATCAAAGCTTTGTGCTAATGCAGAATTAGTAATGTGAACTGACAGAGTAACCTGGAGCAAGTTACATAAACACTTTTAAATTTTTCTTTTCCATGAAATGTAAATTACTACTCTTATACTAATATCTTATGACATTTTTTAGGACATTGTCTTAGTTATCTAGATTATCTAGGGCTACTATAATAAGGATGACTTTAGCAAACAGAAGTTTATTCTCTCGAAGTTTTCGGGAGACCAGAAGCTCAAGTTTAGGGGACAAGCTCCAGGGGAAGGGTTAGAAGGCCCTCTCTGTTGGTTCTGGAAGAAGGTCCTTGTTTCCTTCAGCATCTGTTGGCCCAGTGTTCCATAGACGTCTCTTTAATTCCTGGCCTTTCCCTATTTCGACATGATTTGCAGCCCAAAGGCCTTGGTCTAAGAGATTCATAGTCCTAGAACTCATTTCTCTGGTCAATTCTCTCTGCTTTTTTCTCTCATAAATTAAAAGGTGATACAGCCCATACCCTAGAAAGGCTCCCTTTGTATTATATCAGGTCAGGGTTGTGACCTAACCAAAATTGTTACATTTCACCCTAATTGCCTTACAACTGATTGGTTGACCAGATCTCAGATCATGGAGAATGACTACATCATTACATAACTGCTTCTAATGAGGCTTCATTACAACATGAAAGTAAGAGTTTAGATTTACAAAGCCTACAGGGAGCTCTGGCAGCTTAGTGATAAGGAGTTGTGCTGCCAACCCAAAGGCAGGCTGTTTGAATCCACCAGCTCTCCTCGGAAGAAAGATGGAACCGTCTCCTCCCATGTGGTTTGCAGCCTCTGAAAACCTACTGGTCAGTCAGCTATGAGTCAATTCTGATTTGATGGCAATAAATATTTAGAGGATAATTAGATATTACTGAGAATCATAGCCTAGCCAGATTGACAGATATGTTGCCATGTATGTCATTCAATCCATGACAAACATCTTAATTTTTAGTTACTCTTTTGAGTATTTTCAGTTTTTCATAACCATGTTTTTCTTATATTTTCTCTGATCTTATGATGTAAATATCATGCACATATTTGAAAATAAGATCTAATAACTTTTTCTAATCCTTACAGTCTCAGAGCAAAGTGAGAATAACATTTCTAACTTTCTTCCGAA